TATTCATAAAATTTCAAGAGAAAATTTACCTAATATCTATCTTCACAATACCAGAAGGTGCGAACACGTTGAACAAAACCAGGGCAGCCGTTAAATTTAAATTTTTAAAAAAACTAATACTTTGTGTACGGACTCTTAATTACGATATCTGTTGTTGTAGTAAAAAATAGTACCGTCTAGCGGTAGTACCCAACCTACCCCTTTCGCGGCAGGATGTTCCACTGAGGGTCCCGGTGTCAGCACACCCCCTCATACCGGCTTTCTAAGTGTACCCGAGCGCTACCCCGAGTACCCCAACCAAGTCACCCCTCTTGTAGGGTAGGTTGTTTCCATCAGCATCATTGGGTTTTCCTTACTCTGTTCGGGAGCCCTCAACTTCTGGACTTACCAGGTAGGGTAATCTTAAGCTTATATACTACCTATGCCTCCTTACTGAAAAAAATTATGGGATTCAAAAAAACCGAATCTGATTGGCCGCATAATGTCAATAACGTGTTGATCTACGGCAGTTTAAATTCTACATAGATTGGCCAATTATATTACAAGATCAAGTATAACGTGAAAATCATGCATTTTTAAAAAACTGCAAAATCGAGTATTAATAAGGAAAATTCTTTGCAAAAAAAATTTTTTTAATTACAACCCTTATATAATGTTATACTATAATGTAAAAAAAAATTGTGCATATTCATTATTTTTAATAAAATCTAATTGAACAAATGATGTAAAATTTTAATGGCATTATAGAATAACTTAGTTTAAACGTAATTTATTAGTTGATTATTTTAGAAAATTTCTATTTGTACACTATATAGTGTATAGTATAAATTATACTCAAACCTAGTGATAGAAATCGACTAAATATTAGTCGACTAAGTTGATTAAGGCCGTTCTCGAGCGCCTACCTCAATGAGTTAACCGAACGATTTGATTGGTCGAAAAAATTAATCGTGGTTATCATTTAGGTCAAAAAAACCTGGAGCTGCGACCACCAATTTTTTTCATAGAGCTGCGTTTATCATTGAAAGAATAATCAAAGAGATTGCTCAAGCTCAAATACATTTTTGTTTTA